CATTTTCCGGCACTATATCTGACAGTGTTTCTCTGCTATTCATAAGGTTTTCAGTGATTAAATATTCAGAAGTAGTTCATCACTCCTTCTTCCTAGTTTGTCTTCGTCTGGAAGTTTATCTGAAACCTGTCCACCATGAGTTACCCTGCTGGTATTTAAAATACCAGTGGCATAGCTTTCAGAATCACAGCAACTCACAAGCTACCACAGTACAACAAACTGACAGACGAGTGCTGGAGTCTTCCACATGGAAGGTGAATATTCTACCACTGAGCCATCGAGTCCCCATGACTGCTATAACAAAATACCCACAAACTGGATGATTTATAAGCATAGAATAGTATTCTCTCACTATTTTGGGACTGGGTTCCAAAATCAGGGGGTCAGCCTTTGATTCCTCCTAGGGGCCTCTTTCCTCCCAGCTTCTGGTGACTCAGGCAATCCTTGGCTTGTTGCTGTATCTGCTTCCCTCATCACATGGTCATCCCCTCTGTGTCTCTTCTGTTTTTCAAGAACACCACTTATTGTGAACTAGGACCCACCTTACTCCTTCATGTTAACTGATGACATCTGCAACATGTTTTTTGGGGAAAACAATTCAACCTATGATCTTCCTTTTACCATTCCCCAAGTAGAGGAAAGGAGCTCTGGTAGCGTAGTGGCTATGAATCAGGCTGCAAACCGCAAGGTCAGCTGTTCGAAACTTACCAGCTGTTCCATGGGAGAAAGATGAGGCGTTCTGCTCCCGTAAAGATTTACAGCCTCAGAAACCCTGTACAGGGTCGCTATGGGTCGGAACCGACTCCATGGCATACAGCAGCAGCAGCAACAAGTAGAGGAATCATCTACCCAGCTGGAGGGCTGGCAGCCGAATCACAGGGACTGGACCTCCAATTGACTAAGAGGAAGGTCCCAGGTTCTAGAAGTTCTGCTTCCTGTAGCATGACAGGAACAGTTAGTTACATGATCATCCTACTTCTACAACCAAAGCAAACTATTACCTTTTTCTCTCCTCACTTTACATCCCAGAACATTTTTTTCTGCCCACACTTTCCCTAGACTCCAGAAAAAAATCACAACCTCACTGCCTTCCTTAATTTATTTTTGCAAGTTGATCACCAGACTATTCTTTCTATCCCATCTTAGTCTGGAAGCTTCGCTGACACCTGTTCAACATCATAGCAACAGACTGGGTGGGTGACCTCCCCAGTGCACAAAATACATTGGCCAGAATTCAAACCTATGCCTCTTGCATTGTTGTCATTGTTAAGTGTCATTAGTTCTGACTCATAGCATCCTTGAGGAGTGGCTGATGGTTTTGAACTGAGTACCATACAGTTATCAATACAGTGCTTATCCTACAGTACCACACCAGGACTCCATGATGCCTACATTGTTGCTTTTGTTAAGTGCTGTAGAGTAGTAGAGTAGGTTCCGACTCATAACAACCCTATATACAACAGAACAAAACACTGCCTGGTCGGGCCCCATTCTCATGATTGATGTTTCACTTGATCTCATCATGGCTGCTATCATTGTGCCAATCCATCTTGTTGGGGGGTCTTCCTCTTTTTCGTTGACCCTTCACTTTACCAAGCATGAGGTCCTTCTCTAGGGACTGGTTCCTCCTGATAACATGTACAAAGTATGAAAGACGAAGTTTGGCCATCCTGGCTTTTAAGCATCATTCTGGCTGTTATTTTTCCAGCACAGATTTGTTTGTTTTTCTGGCAACCTATGATACTTTCAGTATTCTTCTCCAACACGATAACTCAAAGGCATCAATTCTTCTGTGGTCTTCCTTATTCATTGTCCAACTTTCACGTGCATATGAGGCTATTGGAAATACAATGTCTTGGTTCAGGCATATCTTAGTCCTCAAATTGACATCTTTGCTCTTGTACACTTTAAAGAGGTCGTGTGCATTGTTTGATTTCTTGACTACTGCTTCCATGAGTGTGGATAGTGGATCCAAGCAAAATGAAGTCTTTGAAAATTTCAATCTTTTCTCCATTTATCATGATTTTATTTATTGGTTCAGTGGTGAGGACCATTGTTTTCTTTACATTGAGGTGCAATTCATATTGAAGGCTATGGTCTTTGATCTTCATCAGTGAGTATTTTAAGTCCTCTTTGCAAGCAAGGCTGTATCATTAGCATATTGCACACAGTTAAGAGTCTTTCTTCAATCCTGATGCCATACTTTTCTTTATATAATCCAGTTTCTCAGATTATTTGCTGAGCACACAGATTGAAATAAGTATGGTGAAAGAATACAACCCTGGTACGTACCTTTCCTGATTTTGTCCCCTTGTTCTGTTGGAATGACTGCCTTATGACTGCCTCTTGGCAGGTTCCTCATGAGCACGACCAAGTCTTCTGGAATTCCCATTCTCTGCAATGCTTGTCGTCCATAGCTTGTCATGATCCACACAGTTAAAAGTCTTTGCATAGTCCATAAAGCATAGGTAAGCATCTTTCTAATATTCTCTGCTTTCAATCGAGATCCTCTAACATCAGCAATGATATTCCTTGTTCCACTTCCTTGTCTGAAACTCTGGCAGTTTCCTGTTAATGTACTGTTGCAGCCATTTTTGAATTATCTTTAGCAAAATTTGGTGCTTGCATGGAGGGTGAGAATTCTACCACTGAACCAATCAATGTCTTCCCTCAGTGTTTTCTTGATGCTTTAAATTCCAAAGTTCCTGGCACAATACCCCATAGTTGTGAGAAAGGGCAGACCCCATGGGGGCAGTGTCAAGGGAGAGGTGAAATCCAGAAGACAGGTCAGGGGAGAGAACAGAGAGATTGTGTAACTGAAAAGGACTCAGGAATGAAGAGATGTGTTTCATAGCCATTACCCTCACCAAGCACGCCTGGGAGGCATTTTGTCCATCAAAGTGCATTTATTAAGTAGTTACCCTTTGGTGGCCCCATTTTCTCACTTACCAAAGAAACAAAGATTAAGCCCCTGTTGTATGCTTTGCACTCACAAGACCTCAGAACAGCCCTGAGTGGAGCCATGATGCAGAAGAAGAAACTGAGGCTCAGAGAGACTTTGTCACTTGGTCACACAGTGAGCAAGAGGAGAAATCGAACCCTAGTCTACCTGGTTCCAAAACCCAGGTGATTTCCCAGAGATGGGTATGACAGTAAGGATGACTTCCGGAAAGATTCCAGTGTGACTTTCGGCAAGACCTCAGAACTAGGTCCCTCATGCCTGGATGGTTTCCCCTCAGACATCTCTCCAAAGCTGGTTCTCAGCAATGGGAGTATGACTAGGTCTTGTCCTCCTAGACAGATCACCTCTAAAACCCTGGAGCTTAGGCCAAATTTCAGGTTCAAGGAGATTCCATCACCCCCTGGTGGAATCTAAGGAGAAAAGATAGGGCTCACACAGGGCGAGGGCTCCTGCTTACAGCTTTGAGGGGCTTAGTTCACCTGTTTTCTTCATCTCTACCAAGGTGATACCTGTGTGGAGGGTGTGGCAAGGACTAAAGAGTGGTGGGTGTCTCGTGCACAGTTGCTGTCTGGCAGGTAGTTATCGTGCAAAAGAAGGGTGGCCAGCAGCCCCTGAGTCCAATGCTGTCTGTAGAAGCTGCCTAAGTTAGGGGCACACCTGGAGGACACCTGGATGAGGGACTGTCTGTAGTCCCAATGGGAAACACCCCTGACACCTAGGCCCCTGGTGAGAAGTTCCTGAGAGCAGGTAGGCAATTGTCATGGGGGAAGAAGTTGACAATCTCCATGACAATAGCTTGGTGGGACAGGGCCCTATTTCTGAGAGGGACTGGTATTCTGTTACCTCACACACCAGAGTTTGGTCTCCATGGCAACACCTTTGGGGTCCAAGCCATCTGGGAAGAGTTGCCAGGTATTAGGGTTGGACCTGGGGGAGGGGCACCCTGTTTCCATGGTGAGAGTGAGGAACTGGAATGCTGGATCACCTTGGGGGAACTGGGGTCACCGCAGCTGTTGGGAACAGCAGGAAGTGAAGTTGTAAGTCTTGGAGGTGGGAGCCAGTGAGAAGGGAAAACTGTGGTATCCATGGTTACATCTGGGGGAGGACAGTGCCTTCTCCATGGGCCACTGCAGGAAGGGGGTATATGTTTCTAGGTGACAGGTAGAGGCTGTGCTAGTTGCCTTGGTGATAGTAGGTAAAGAGGTGGCTGGTCTCTATAGCAACAGCAACACAGAACTTCTGGGTCCATGAGCCGGGATGTGGGATGCTCTCTTTGGTGACAGCCAGCGAAGGGGGCGCTGGGTTCCGGTTGGGGTTGATTTCCTCTCCCTCTAGGGAGACTGAGGTGTGGGGTGTGGGGTTCTGTCCCTCAGCCAACTGGGGATGTGTTAATCCATCTTCACCAAATCTGAAGGAAATCTCCAGAGAAAAAGAGGAAGTGGGGCTGCTCTCTAGGGTAACCTGGGGAAGTGAACTGTAAATCCCAAATCTTATGGAGACTCTCAGAAGGGATGAGACCCTGTCTCCAAGTCATTGTCAGCATGCAGTAGAAGTCCTCCTTTCAGGTGGCAGCTAGGGGCATGGCCCCCTGGGACCCCTTGGGTTTCCATTTTCTCTTTGGCTGGGGAGAGTCCCAAGACCAGGTGACTGTAAGTGGATGACTGGCCAGTGAGTGCCCAGATGGTGCCGGCTACCACGTGACTGCAGGGACAGAGAGACCTGCTTCCAGGTGACCTCTGGAGGTGTGGCCAGTCTTCAGGGAAGACAGCATGGTCTCTTTTGTAGGTCTGTCTCTCTTGGAGAAAGTCAGGGTAGGGTGGGGGAATCAGGTGTCTAGGGGACTTCAAAACGTGCAGTCTCCAGGCTACCACATCAGAGTGTGGTCAGTCTTCAGGGGACTTCAGGCAGCATGTTTGGTCATTAGGGACTGCAAGGGGTGTGGTCAGTCTCCAAGAACTACAGATGGCATGGTTAGCCTTCTGGGGAATCAGGGCGCTCGGCCAGCCACCAAATGCCCCAGCTGCCCAGTCTGCCTGGCTTAGACGCGCAGCGGGGTCCAGGCAGCAGGGTCTCGAGCTCCTCCAGCCCAGCCGCCGCCACCGGCCCAGCCCCAGCCCCAGCCGCCGGGTGCAGGGTCTGGTGCGCCTGGTGCGCGGTAACAGTAGACGCCAAAGAGGCGGCGAGCGGTGTCAGGGAAGCCCAGGCTGCGCACACCAGGTCGGCGGCCCCCGCAGCGCGCTCGCGGGTTCACTATGGGGTAGCGTGCGCTCCCGTCGGCCAGCCAGCCAGCCGTGCAACGGTCCAGTAGCTGCAGCTTCCACGCGGCAAACAGCTGCCCCACCTTGGCCACTGACGCACCGCGCGCAGCGCACGCGCGCGCCGCCCCAGCAAAAGGCACCGGCCGTAGGGGCTTCAGGAAGAACACTCGCCCTGTGGGGAATGGGGAAGCCGTCAGTGTCGCGCCTGATATCCCAAGACAGGATTCAAGACCCCCCTTTGCAGCACCAGATTCCAGACTGGGGACTAAAGACCCCACCACCACCATATCTACATCTCGGGACCAGGGCCTCCTTTGTAGTCCAGACCACAGCCTCGGGGGTTCAAGACCTATACACCTATAGCCAGGACCTGGTATCGGTCAGGGCAGTTTTAGCTCTAGGCAGAGTTTGACTTCCAGGCAGTGGCGGTCCTGGGGTCAGGACTGCCGAGTTCTGGTCTTCCTGAACCTAGCGAGTTATTGCGGGACCAGGGCATGACTGGGAGATGCTTTCTAGCAGGGGCGAGATCTACGCACCCGGGAGGTTGGAGGTGAAACAGAAGGCATCGTAGCGCTCCTCTGCGTTATGGCGGTAGCCGTAGTTGCGTACGCCCCCGGGGGTGCCTCTGCCGGCTCCGGGGTTTGTGGCCCCGCCGCAGGGCTCCCGGGGCTGGCTCACCGGATACTGCACGGAACCGTCGCGGAGCCAGCCTGCGTTGCACCAGTCTAGGCCGTCGCGCCACGCCGCATGCAGCTGCTCCGCCGAAGCCAGAATACCATCCTGCTCGGCGCATGCACGGTGCGCCTCAGCGAAGGTCAGTTTGTAGCGGCCCCCACGGGGATGGTAGGGAAAAACCACACCTGAGGAGCAAAAAGGGGTCAGCCTTGAATCTGGTCTCAGACCTGACCACGCCATTCCTCAGCTTACATAAATAACCCTTGGCTCCCCTTCGCTTTAAGCTTGTTATTGTTGTTAAGTGCGGTCTAGCCCGTTTCGACTCATAGCGACCCTGTATAGGGTTTCCAAGGAGCGGCTGGTGAGTATGAACCGCCGACCTTGAGATTCAAACCGACCTTGCGGTCCAGAGCAGTGCGGTCCAGTGTGGTCCTGCAGCACTTAACCCTTCTCTTTATAACACATTTAATCATGCCCACCCCTTTCCATAGCTGAAGACCTTGTTACATGTTGTTCACTCTATCTGGTCTATCTGTTGAACTCCTACTCATCCTTCAAAACTTTCCCTCATTCATTTCAACCCTATATACTTTTCTCTATGTTCCCTTAACACTGGGTCCTTCCCTCTGGTCTAGCCTTGACCAACGTAGCAGGGAGTGTCTGTGGCCAGTACTCCACCCTCAGACTGGAAACCCCTGGAAGACTGACCCTGGATGAAAACCCCTTTGATCCCCAGCATCACCAGAGGTCGTACCGGTTAGTTTCCCTTTCATCTTCCTTTTTTGTGACCCTGGAAGTGGGACATGGAGCCTGACAGACCAGGGTTTGAATCCTCGCTATCACTCACTGGTCCTGCAAAACTCAAACCTCTGAGCCAGTTCCCCAACACTGGTAACAGCATCTTCTTCAGAGATTTTGGGGGAAATTAGAAAACCCAGAAAGCTTTTCAACCATGTGCATAGCACATACAAGACATCCAGTAAAGGAGAGCTGCTGCTGCTGTGTTTACTACTGTAACAAAGTTAGACTCTTCTGGAAACTTCTAAGGTGGACCATGGAAGGCAAACCAGGTGGGAGGGAATTCTTCAGATAGAGATCCCACTTACCTCCAGGGTCAACCAATTAGAGCATCCCATTTCCCAGCCACAATAATTAGCTCATACATGGGCACATGATTCAAGATGGGCCAATGAGAGACAACTTTAGGACTCTAATTGGAATTCTTAGGAAAGTGATTGTTAAACTAGTTTTTGGTTTCTCTCTGAGTGCCTAGATCTTACGGTGCCTGACACTCACGGAGTGCCTAGATCTTACGGTGCCTGACGCTCACGCTATCCTAGGGTTTCTCAGTTTTAGCACTATTGACATGTTGGACTGTATCATTCATTCTCTGTTGAAGGGGACCATTCTGTGCGTTGCAGAGTGTTTGGCATCTTGATGCCAGTATTAAAGTTCCCCCAAGTGTAACAACTGAAAATATCTCCAGACCTTACCAGTATACCTTGGAGAACAAAGTTGCTCTGGTCTAGACCCAGTGCCATACTCCAAGAATCCTCTAAATTCCTTCAAGCTAATGTGATGTGGTCCTTTGCAGTCCTCCTTTCCCTCCTCCCCTAGGCTAATCACCTTCCAGGTCCAGCTTGACCATGCCTGTGTCATCCTCCAGCTCGTTGGTGACCTCGCATTCATAGCGCCCGTAGTCTTGCAGTGTGACATTGCGGAGCACCAGCGAGGCATCCCCAGGCCCGTCGCCCTGCAGTTCGGCCCGCCCTCGGTAGCTGCCAAATGCCCGGTGTTGGGGACCCAGTGCCACGAAGACGTCAACGAAGGCTAGCGGGTCCACCACCTTAGTCCACTTCAGGCGGATGTCGTCGTGGCCGTCAGCAGCAGCCTCATAGTGATAGCGGCAAGGCAGAACGATGGTGCCGCCCCGATGGCTGACCACCTGCCCGGGTGCTGTCTGCACAACTACCGAGCCTGACTCTCCCTCTGTGGGCGACCAAGCAAAGATCAGGGAGGTGGGGCCGCGGGGCGGGGCTCCACGAGAGGGGAACTGGGGAGGAGCCTGGGGCAACTAAGGGATAAAGGGACTGTGAAGTGGGTTGAAAGGGTAACGGGCTCAGGTGGGATGGGCAGGGGACCGTGACCAGCGATAATGTCCCACCTCCACTGCGCACTGGCCGCTGACTGTAGGCCACAGTCTAGGGGCCTCCGTCGCGGCCTCACGGACACGAGACCCCGCCCCGCGGCCCCGACTCACCAAGCACGTGCACAACTTTTTTCCGGCCGCGTTGCGCCTCAGTGGGAGCTGCGAGCAGCAGGAGCCCCCAGGCACAGAGAAGGCCGGGCCCGACGGCTGCCCCGGCACAAACCTGGGAAGCAGAGGTCCGGAGGTCGGTCTACGACTGCTCTATCCACGCTCCCTCTCATCCTTTGCCCTGGTCAATGGCCCTGACTGACCAATCCCGCGCCTAGGGTTAGCCCCCAACTCCAGCCAGGGACCCGGAGGACTTCCCGGAGCAGGCTGCAGACCCCTACGTCCCCTGGCATCCTCCACACTGGACTCCGGCATCCCTCTCCAGCTGTCTTGTCCGGCGTTTCCCCTCCAAGTCACTTGGAGCCCCGTCCCCCCTCTCTCCGGCCCTGGCCCGGGGCTGGGGGGCGGGAGGGGGGGAGGAGCTGGAGCCGTGGCGGCGGCAAGGTTATCCGTGCGCCAGGAGACTGCAGCAAACGGGGCCGGCAGGGGGTGGGGAGGCAGAGACACTGGGAAAGCAAGAGATAAAGAGAGAAGGGAAGAGAGAAGAGAGACACGGGGCGAGAACAGCTCAAGGGACAGAGGGAGAAACCGATTAACGGAGGGAGTTAGAGGATAAGGAGAAGATGAGAAAAGATAGGAGAGAGGGGTAGAGGAAGAAAAGAGGGAGAGACAAAGGATGGAGTGAGGTAGATACGGAAAGAAACTCGGAGGAACTTAGATGCAGACATGAGACAACCCGGAGAGGGAGACTGACGCTCCCGAAGTCAACACTCACCATCCTGCCTGCACGCCCCAGCCGGGGGAGCTCCCCTGCGCTCCCGGACAGCACTCCCTGAATGTCCAAGACCGACTGGGCAGGTCTGCGGGCAGCGCAATCCCGGAGTCTGCCTGCAAGGGGAGGAGGGGGGTGGGGATGGCGTTAAAGGGAACGCAGCTTTCCTGTTCCAGGAGGGCTGGCCTGGAGCAGGGGACAGAATGGACCACCCTGAGTACAGAACCTTGCTGGCTTACCTAAGGCCAGTGGGGAAACCTCTCAGGACCCCTGTTTACCTGTCTTTCCAATGGGGGAGGGTTCTTTCGAATTTCCTGAATGGGCAAGGGGCTAGGTGATCTGGAAAAGAGACCTGTCTGTATGTCATTGGGTGACAATTTCAAGGACCTTGGCTCTGGCACCCAAAAGGTGCTCACTCTGCGGAGTAGGGGCTCCCACAAGCATCATATGACAGATGGCCTAGGATGAAGGGTACAGAGGTGACTTGGCATGACAAATTCAAACTCAATTCTGTTGGTTGCTTTCTGAGGGACTTTAGAGATACTGTAACTCTTTGAGCCTCAGTTTTTCCCTCTGGGAAATGGGGTGCTGATTCTTTGGTAAGGAGCCAATGGGTAAATATATAGTAAATCCATTGCCATCAAGTTGATTCTGATCCATAGTGTTCCTATAACACACAGTAGAACTGCCCTACAGAGTTCTTTATCCTGCCACATCTTTCTGCTGACATTCTGTTAGCAGCTGAGTACTTTAGCCACTGTTTCGCCAGGTCTCTTAGATATATATGAAGTCAATGCAGATGCAGTGACCTACTGTAGGGTTTCTGAGGCTGTAAATCTTTATAGGAGCAAGAAGTCTCATTTTCCCAAGAAGTGGCTGGTGGGTTTGAACTGCCAACGTTGAGGTTAGCAGTCCACTGCTTATCTTACAATGTGACCAGGGTTCTCTCCTAGATGTATTATTTCTACAAACAGACTCATGTTATTGCTGTTGTTGGTAGTTGGTAGGGTGGAGGGTTGTTGGTGCCGTTGAGTTGGTTCCAACTCATATCAAACTTAGGTACAACGGAACAAAACATTGCCCTGTCCTGTGCCAACCTCACAATGGCTATGCTTGAGCCCATGGTTGCTGCCACTGTGCCAAACCATCTTGTTGGAGGGGTCTCCCTCTTTTATACTGACCCTCCGCTTTACCAAGCGTGATGTCCTTCTCCAGGGACTAATCCCTTCTGATACGTCTAAAGGATGAGAGACAAAGTCTGGCCATCTTGATTTATAAGGAACATACACCATGTACTTCTTCCAATACACATTTGTTCTGCTGGCAGTCCATGATGGGTTTTGTTTTGTTTTGTTTTTTTAGTCCATGGTATTTTTTATGTTCTCTAACATCATAACTCAAATGCATCAATTCACACTCATAGCGATCCTGAATAGGGTTTCGAAGGAGCGGTTGGTGGATTTGAATCACTGGCATTGTGATTAGCAGTCCAGTGCTTATCCCATAAATGTGGCTGTTTGTTGTTAAGTGCCATTGAATGGGTTCTGACACATAGCGGCCCTGTACAGATTTTGTAAGGAGCAGCTGGTGAGTTTGAGCCACCAACCTTGTGGATAAATATATAGTATGTGTATGATATGTACTGGACTGCGAACAGCAAAGTTGGCATTTCCATCAGCCACTCTTCAGAAACCTTATACAGGGTTTCTATGAGTCAGAATAGAGTCCTGGGGTAGTGCTGCAGGATGGATATGCACTAGACTGGTAACCATTATTTTATTGATTTTGTTTCTTTATTCTTTCCTCTCCTCCTCTTCCCTTCCATTCCCTTGAGTTTTACCCTTTCTATCTATCCATTCTATCTACTCTTTAGGAGTCTTGGTGTGGCATTGTGGTGCTAATGCATCAGACTGAAAAGTTGTTTGAGCTGCAACATTGGTGGTTCAAGCTCACTAGCTGCTCCTTGGAAACCCTATACAGGGTTGCTATGGGTCAGAATCGACTCGATGGCACTTAACAACAACATCTACTCTTGTTGTCCCTTCTTTTCTCCTGTTTCTCATTTCCCCTCTTCTTCTTTTCTTTCTTTATTTCTCATTTTATTTTATTTTAACGTTTTATTGTGAGTTAAGTGAAGGTTTACAGACAATATCAGCTTTGTTGTTGTTAGGTGCCATTGAGTCAGTACCAACTCATAGTGACCCTACGTACAACAGAACCAAACACTATCCAGTCCTGGGCCAACCTCACATTTGTTGCCATGCTTGAGCCCATTACTGCTGTCACTTTGCCAATCCATTTTGCTAGGAGTCTTCCTCTTTTTCTCTGACCCTCCACCCTACCAAACATGATATCCTTCCTCTAGAGATTGGTCTCTCCTGACAATATATCTGAAGTTTGGACATCCTGGCCTCCAAGGAGCACTCTGGCTGCACTTCTTCCAACACAGATCTGTTTGTTCTTTTGGCAGGCCATGGTACTTTCAATATTCTCCTCCAACACCATAACTCAAATGCATTAATTCTTCTACGGTCTTTCTTATTCACTGTCCTGTTTTTGCATGCATATGAAGTTATTGAAAATACCATGGCTTCGGTCAGGCTCACCTTAGTCCTCAAGCTGACATCTTTGCCCTTCAACACTTTAAAAAGGTCTTGTGCAGCAGATTTGCCTCATGCAATACGTCCGTTTGATTTCTTGACTGCTGTTTCCATGAGTGTTGATGGTTTATCCAAGAAAATGAAGTCCTTGACAATTTCAATCTTTTCTCCATTGATAAGAATGTTGTTTATTGGGCCAGTGGTGAGGATTTTAGTTTTCTTTACATTGAGATGTAATCCATACCGAAGACTATGCTCTTTGATCTTCATCAGTAAGTATTTTAAGTCCTTTTCACTTTCAGCAAGCAAGGTTGTATTATTTGCATATCACAAGTTATAAATGAGCCTTCCTCCAATCCTGATGCCACGTTTTTCTTCATATAAGCCAACTTCTTGGATTATTTGCTCAGCATACAGGTTGAATAAGTATGGTGAAAAAATACAACTCTGACGCACACCTTTCTTAACTTTAAACCATTCAGTGTTCCCATGTTCTGTTTGAACTACTGCCTCTTGGTCCAGGTACAGATTCTTCATGAGTGCAATTAAGTGTTCCGGAATACTCATACTTCACAATGTTATCCATAGTTTGTCATGATCCATACAATCAAAAGCCTTTGCATAGTCAATAAAGCACAGGTAAACATCTTTCTGGTATTCTCTGCTTTCAGCCAAAATCCATTGGACATCAGCAATGAAATCCCTTGTTCCATGGCCTCTTCTGAATCTGGCTTGAACCTCTGGAAGTTCTCTGTCAATGTATGCTTGCAACCATTTCTGTATTACCTTTAGTAAAACTTTACTTTCATGGGATATCAGAGATTGTCCGATGGACACAAGTACGGATCTCTTTCAGTAAGTTGGCCTGATCATTGTCTTCTAAATTTCTTGGCACAGATGAGTGAGTGCCTCCAGTGCCGCCTCACTTTCTTGAAAGATTTCAATTTTTATTCCATCAGTTCCTGGTGCCTTGTTTTTTGCCAGTTCCTTCAGTGCACCTTGGACTTCCTCCTTAAATATCATTGGCTCTTGATCATATGCTACCTCTTGAAACGGTTGAACATCAGTCATTTCCTTTTGGTGCAGTGACTCTGTGTATTTCTTCCATCTTCTTTTGATGCCTTCTGCATCATTCAATAATTTTCCCAGTGAACCCTTCAGTAACGAAAGCCAAAGCTTGATTTTATTTTTCTTAAATGTTTTATTGTGAATTATGTGATAGTTTACATGGGAGAACATTAGTTTTACATTCATTCTATTGTATATAGTCTCATTGCCATGGTTACAATCCCCTCCATGCATCATCAACCAACCAAATGGTATACCCTGCAAGCCTGCCCCCCACACCCCTGGGTCTTCAGCACACAGTCCCTCTCCCTCTCTAGATCTAAAGTCCCCAGCTGCTCCATCGCTCCAAGTCATTGTCTCTGCCTCCATCTCAGGCATCACTGCTGCTCTGGGTAGGGTCCCGCTCTCCGCTCTTCTCCATTGATGGTTCTAGGGATCTCCGCTCCTAGACTGGAAAGTCAATCACTCCCTTCCTTGCTATAAAACATCTACCTTTACATTTCAAACCCTCACAATCAGTCCTGATAACAATTATTCA